GTCATAAAAAGGTTGAATATTGCTATTCATTATTTGTTGTGATCACACTAGTCTATTCTAGGCTAGGTGACGGTGAGCCCTTTATTTTATCGTCGAGTGCATTAAAAATGAATAATAACTCAATTGTATGAATATGTAAAATACATAATGATAATTAATGATTAATAACATTATTTTAAAAGGTTTGTTAAGAGGAGAAGCACAAGCTTTTACAAGTTGGTTAATATTTTTATTCTTAGCCTCCATTTGACAAATTCGTAAATGGTTTATAGAGAGGAAAAATTAGAAAAATAGTAGAGGATCTCATGAAATGCGTGGATAAGAATGAGTACCAATTATGAATTTATGGTTAAAATTAATGTTTTTTTTATCCAAACGGAGGCTTAGTTGATGTGGGATTTTAGACCTTAACTATATTGATTAATTTGTCCCTCCACTTCTTGTTTCTTTTGTCCCTTTTTATTCGCTATCCTTTTCGTCTCATTTTTACATCTAATTTGAACTTTCGGACAGAGTTTTAGACTGAGCAAGTTGAGTGGAAAAAAGTGTTTTATGTTGTGCGCAAGGGAACTCGGCATTATATGGGCGGGAACTCCACAGTATTGGAATTGGAAGACTCTTACAGAATCAAGGTCTATATATTTTCCTCTATTTATATATTACCTTAATAGAAGTGTCATTACATTTGTGTTTTATTGTCTATAGATTTGCTGAGGTAGCAGAACTATTAAGCGTTTGCTGGCTTGATATTCATGGCAAAATGCAAACTCAAATGTTGTCTTTGAAGACTAACTACGCCGCATATCTCGTGTTCAAAATCCTTGAAAATTCTGATGGGCTCGACTCGCCCTCAAAGGCATCTGTCAAACTTGTTCAACAAAGCATAGTACAGGTTGAAGGTGAGAACAGCACTGTGTATTTAAAAGAACCAATGCTTGGACAAGGAAGTTGGATCGAAGTTGATCAAAGTATCTATGGTCGGATGCCGAAAGAAAGAAGGGACACGTGGATGGAGATTGAATTGGGAGAATATTTCAATGACGAAGGAGATGAAGGTTATATTCATATGCAACTTTTGGAGACTGAGCTGCTTCATTGGAAGCGTGGCCTTATTATTGAAGGGATTGAGCTTCGGCCCAAGGAAGAATGGAATGATAAATAAATTGTTTCTTCTTTAATGGTTTAAGTTTTTAAGTGAGACGGTTTAACAATATATTAATCTTTACTTGTCTTGTGTCTTATTTTGTTGGAATCGCAAGAAATAGGGTTGTGTGTATATGATGAATACTTCATGTTTGCAGTAGTTTTATGTCGTCGTTTGAAAACTGTGTCCTAGTTTGTCCATTGTCACTGTAGACAACAAGAGAAGCCGGCCGGCCAAACATCTTCTTTGATAAGTGAATGCTGGTTTGTCCATGTCTCTGTCTATGACAAGGGAAGCCGACCAGCTAGCCAACCATCCTTCCCGTTTGTTCAATCTCACAACACAATCTAATGATCTCCACTTTTGTTCCCATTGACACGATCAAATTCCACCAACAAGGTAACGTGCAACTTATGGAGATTGAGAATCTTGGAGAATATTTCAACGACAAAGGAGATGGAGGTGATATTCAGATGCAACTTATGGAGATTGAGAATCTTAAGTGGAAGGGTTGCCTTAGGATTGAAGGGATTGAGATTTGACCCAAGGAGGGATAGAATGTCACGATCTATATTCATTCCTTTTATAATATACTCCAAATATGTTGATACTCCTAAATACAAAACTTAAATAAATAAATTGTTTTCTACCTATACTATGTAAGCAATCCTAAGTCAATTATCCTTGACTCTGCAATTTTCGTGGTCGAAGAACAAGCACAAAATGATAACACAATCTCAATTGCACAAGTCTAAAAACGAGTATTCGATCAAGAAACAGGGTACACTACAGGGAATTAATGCTAAATTTAACAAAATTTTCCATGATGACATAGCAAAGTTTATACAACTGTCAAAAATTTCGGGGAAAATTTTTGTAATTTGCTTAATATAATAAAAATGAAAAGAAATTCGATATAAGGATCATGTTCCCAATTCGTGACAAGGATTGCAATCCCTAAACGTTCAGGACCATAGGGTCACAAATTGAAGAATTGGGACCCATCATCAAAGCGTTTAAGACCATTTATATATGGGTTTTCCTCCTTGTACCGGGGG